ATTAAAAGATCATTTCAGGTATTAAATGAAAACGGGACTCACTGCTAGTGCCTGACCTTTTTCAGGCTGCAGAAGGATCCTGCCAAATCTGTAGTCTGATTATTGGACTAATCATCTAATCATCAAAACAGCCAAGACAGATGCAGAAACCTCAGGACGCATCTCCCAAAAAAACCTTATTTAAAACATCCATGAAAAACACAGACAATCACGTCTTGGTGTAATGATTCCATATCCACTTTCTTTCTGTCTCCTCAGAGATTTTCACCATAGGGGGCAATTCGTTTGGAGAGCCCTGTCAGTTCCCTTTCAAGTTTCTGGAGAAGTGGTACGCTGAGTGCACGAAGGACGGTCGATCAGACGGACACCTGTGGTGCGCCACAGAGAGGGATTACGATAAAGTGAAGAAGTGGGGCTTCTGTCCCACCCAAAGTGAGTGCAAGTTACACATGTTTCCACCCAGAAGTCTACGATTCTTCAACATCTGTAATCATCGGGATTGTTGAAATGCTTGTTACGTCTATTTGTCAGTCACATTAACTTTTCTTTTTTTTTGTTATCTCTCACCAAAGAGGTCAGTACTGACAGGTTTATCTCCCCAGCAGAACAACATTCCCACTTCCTCTTATGAGTTGTCAACACAGCACTGTCCTCGTTTTCCTCTTCGCGTTGGCCTGTCATTCCCCTGACTCTGCTTTAAAACTGGGGCAGGAAAGAAAGAGAAGGGAAAAAGCAAAGTCACTTTAACAATAGAAGCAAAACCCAAGCAATTTCTAGATAAGAATGAGGAGATTTTATTCAGACTTTTAATGGTCCTTAAAATTCATTCAGGTCAAGTACAGAGGAGAATGATTTTTTTTCTCTTTCCCATATCCAGCATCCTCAGGTTGGGACACAGACCCAGTCACTGGGGTTCAGTATCAGAGGAACGCACAGTCAGTGTTGACCTGGCATCAGGCGAGGAAGAGCTGCCAGCAGCAGGGAGCCGACCTCCTCAGCATCGTCGAGCTGCACGAGCAGTCGTACATCTCAGGTACGACATTAACCTTGTGTCATCCTCTCATACCACGCAGTGTTATAATGTAGGATGTTAATAGCTTTGTAATGCATGTGTTGACACAGGGTTGACAAATGCTTTTGGGACATCTATGTGGATTGGACTGAACTCCTTGGATTTTACAAGCGGGTGGCAGTGGAGTAATGGAAACCCATTTAGATATTTAAACTGGGCCCCAGGTGAGTGAATAAGAATACTGTAGTGTAATGTTTCAATATGATGTGACAGCAAACAGCAAAAGCGGAGAGGTGAAGTGGGAGACGCATTTAAAAGAAGTTGTCCCCCAAAACTGAACATATGTTTCCAACAGGTCATCCGTCATCAGAGCCTGGACTTACCTGTGCAACCCTCAATGCTGGAAAAGCCTCAAAGTGGGAGAGCAGCGCCTGCGCCAAGAAACTCGGTTACATTTGTCGCAAAGGAAACTCCACCAGTCTGCTTCCTCCACCGAGTAAAAACTTTTTTTGTTTTCAGAGTGTAGTCTTCATGTTCCGAATATTCAGCTGAATATATTCTATGTATGTCTACAGGCAAAGATCAGCCCAGCTTCTGCCCCAGTCACTGGGTTCCTTACGCAGGTAACTGTTACTACCTGGACAGGAGTAAGAAGATGTGGAGGGACGCTCTGGCTGCGTGTCACAAAGAGGGAGGAGACTTGGCCAGCATTCACAACATAGAGGAGCAGAGCTTCGTCATATCTCAATCTGGATACTGTGAGTGTGCATAGAAACATTTTTCTAAATCAGGGGACATGAAGGGGCCACAGTTTATACAGTGGGGACAGAAATACATCAAACCTCCCTGGACAATTCTTGATTCATAAGGTGCATCTTTAAGTCCTCCCTGTTTGCTCTATAGCTTTGAGCAAAGCCACACATGCCCAGGCTACCTGTTTCCAATCTTAAGCTAAGCTAATCAATCTTGTGAAGATATGTCTAAGATATGTATAATATTTAAAGTACAGGAACGAGATTGGCATCAGTGTTCTTGTTGAACTCTCAGAAAGAAAGTGAACGTCCATATTTTTACGGGCAACAACAAAACTACATTCGGAGGAGACCAAACATGTGGAACGACTCCCTATGACTATACTCCATGAATATGTGTATGTGCCAATAGTGCCGACAGATGTGCTCTGGATTGGCTTGAACGATCAGAAGAACCAGATGTTGTTCGAATGGTCCGATCACTCCCACGTTACCTTCACCAAGTGGCAAACAGATGAACCCTCTCACGCCACCAACCTCCAGGAAGACTGTGTTCTCATCAGCGGAAAGGTACCACCCATCACTCACCGAATACACAGAGCAAATTATAATTTCATTTTATTATCATATGAGTGGCCGTGTTTGCAGCTTTTATATTCATTGTTGCTCACACAGGAGGGGAGTTGGGCAGATCACATGTGTGAAAAGACGTTCGGGTACATCTGTAAGAAGAGGGCCTCCACGAAACCACCTGAGGGCGCCCAAGAGGAGGCCAACCCTGGGTGCAAGCTAGTGAGCGATTCACATATCTACTTTGAATCGTAGAATAAATCCTTCAGATCATATTTATATTCACTATGTTTGTGTTCATGTCGTCATCAATCAGGGCTCCATCAGGTTTGGCTCCTACTGCTACAACATCGGAGCAGAGACGAAAACTTTTGATGATGCAAAGCAGACGTGCTCCGAGTCCGGCGCACATCTGGTGGATGTGGGTGACAGGTATATTTTCATCCATTCATGTCTTATGTATGTGGAATGTTTTCCCCCATTGTTCAGTTATTAAATGATCTGAAATACTAGTTTTACTATGTCAGGAAGGTTAATCTAAAAGAAGAGATTTATTCAGAATCATCATCAAGTTGTATTATTGCTAAAATTTCTTCTTTCATGCAGATATGAGAGTGCCTTCCTGGTCAGTTTGGTGGGTTTAAGACCGGAGAAGTATTTCTGGATGGGTTTGTCCAACACAAAAGAAATAAGCACTTTCCAATGGACGACCAGCAGAAAGGTCACGTTCACTCATTTCAACGTGGGAATGCCAGGTACAGCTTCTCTTTAGTTTTACAGTGTAACCAGGGTTCCTAATGCCTTTTGTGTTATATACTGCATTTTATACCTGCACGTATAAATTATGTTCATGTTAGCTACTGTGCTTGGCTCTGTGTTACTAACTCGCGAGCCCGTGTATTGCGGGACCTCAATAGCACGACTCCACACGACGATCGCTACTGTGCAGACTCTGGCTCCAAATGACGTCAGAAAACGTCAGATGGCAGCAGCTATACCTAGAAAATATTGGGTTCATTTTTGTACAATGATAGGAAGTGGAGACACCGTCTATGTTTGTGCCATTCATGGTTCCAAAATGACACCCGCTAATAACTTCCCTAACATTTGTAGTTGGCTTGATTGCCGTGGAATTTAGTGCACACTCACAACTGGTGATAGTCTTTACAATTTGAAGGTTAGCTTGTTAATATATATTTTTTCCATTTCTTTCTCTGTGTTTAACAAAAGACAGAAAACAAGGATGCGTTGCCATGACAACTGGAGTTTTCGCCGGATTATGGGATGTTGTCAGCTGCAGCAACAAGGAGAAATACATCTGCAAAAAACCAGCAGATGGTGTGACAGTGACGACGGTTCCGCCCACCACCCCGGCCCAGAGCTGTGCCTCTGGTTGGATCCCTACCGCCACAGGGAACTTCTGCTTCCAGGTAAGAGGAAAAACTTTCACTAATCTGAAGAAATCTTTTTTTTTACACCGCCACCATAACATCTAACACATTGTGCCTTTTCACTCATTAAAAAGATTTTCAGAAGACAAAGGAATCTTAGGAAAACGTGGTTTGAAGCACGGGACTTCTGCAGGGCCATTGGTGGGGACCTGATGAGCATCCACGACGAGGACGACCTAAGAGATGCATCGTATGTTAACTCACCAGCTTGTGCATGTCTAATTCTTTAAGTTAATTGAGAATTCATGTAGTAAATATGTGTGTTCTTCTGTTCTACAGGTATCACTTCTCTGAACCAGCTTGGATTGGTTTCAGCTCCCTGGATACCAGTCAAGGTTTCGTGTGGAGTGATGGGTCTCCTGTATGTAGCACTTCATTCTTATCAACTACAATATTTCAATCACTGTCATCCTAATAACTTGTATTTCCAACAACTGTGATCTAGAACAACTTTGAGAGCTGGAGCTATGGAGAGCCAAACAACTACAACGACAATGAACATTGTGCAGAAGTCCAGTCTTACTACGGACACAGCTGGAATGATCGGCACTGTGACTTCGACAATGACTGGATCTGCAAGATACGCAAAGGTAAAAGGAGATCTGCTTCACATGGAGTGATTTATGTAATATCAGGGTTTTGTGCCATTGTTCCTTCTTTCATGCTTCTTGTGTTTTCAGGTGTGACTCCCAACCCGGAGCCTGTCAATGCTCCAATAGGTACGGTTCAGCAGCACTTTCACCAAAACAGCCTTCAACTCTTAATTTTCGTTTCTTCACTGTTTTCTTTTCACCCGTCCAGAGTTGCACAAACACATTTCCTAAAACTACTAGATATTGCTTTACCTCAGGGTTACTGCTAATCAGTCATTTTTATCTAATCAAGGTCACTTCACATGGACATGTCACAACCTAATTTTAATTTGCAAATATATGTTGAGAGTACAAATGTTATTGGCAGTATTGAATAAAAACTTTTGAGTCTTTTGAGTTGCGGGGACGCTCAAATGAGTTTTCCTTGTCTGGAACAAATTGTTCCTATTGTTCCGACACCACATGAAAAACATAAGCAGAAATCTTTCTGTAAATTCTAAATGCCGTACCCGTGGGGCTGTTTATTTTTCCGCATTTACAGTATACAACACCACAGAAGATGGCTGGCTCATATACAACGATACAACGCAGTATTTCATCAACCCTGACCTCCTGTCCATGGAAGCTGCTCGAGCCTTCTGCAAAAAAAACTTTGGCGAACTTGCCGTGATCACAGGGGAGACTGAGAGGAAGTTCCTCTGGAAACTGGCAAGGAATTCAGAAAATATCTTATTTAATAACACTGGATTTTAAAACAGCAGCATGTTCTCACTTGTTCTCAATTATCTGCTGGCAAAAGTAATGACGACTGTATTTGATTTAACATCTCTTGCCATTATGTACAGATATTGAAAGGATTAGATGGACAGTACTACATTGGCATGGTGGTGAATTTGGATCAGTCTTTCAGGTAAATCACACAAAGGCCATTTACCGTACATCAATCTGACATTTTTGACAGGAATGTGAATGTTATGAGTTTTTATTCATATTTATTTTTATGTTTCCATTTCTAGCTGGCTGGACGGCACCCCTGTAACTTACACTGCATGGGAACACAATGAGCCCAACTTTGCCAACAACGATGAAAACTGTGTGACTATATACAAAGGCATGGGTGAGTCTAAATCAGAGAAAGTCTTCATAGCGATATTTAGTAAAAAAACAAATCTTCATATTATTTATTCATCGTCCTCTGCGCACAGGCTACTGGAACGATATCAACTGTGGTATTGAGCTTCCCTCTCTCTGCAAAAGAAGCAGCAATTTTGTAAATACAACAATGGCTCCCACCATGGTTCCTAAAGGAGGATGTGCACCAGAGTGGCTTTCTTTTAGAGGAAAGGTACATGCACGTAACTGTATGCGACACAGATTGCTTCAAAACAATGCTGACACTCATCATGTGCTTATCTTTAATTAAGGTTTTCAGGATTTAAACTTTCCCACGTGCATGATGTAAATCTGTCCCTGGTAAATTGTGTTTCCCGTATGTTGTCTGGTTATCTACTTTCCATGTGCTTGTTATTCCGACGCACACCTCAGACTCATCTTGTTTATACAGTGCTACAAAATTGTTACGAGTGATGACAATAAGAACTGGCAGGACGCCAGGACCTACTGCACAAACCAGGGAGGAAATCTGGTTTCTATCGTCAATGACAAAGAGCAAGGTGAGCAACATGAGCTCCAGTGGTCGAGGTTTACAGTTCACAAAGTGCTTTGAAAGTCTCATGAATAAACCGCAACCTTGGGATTTAAGTTTTCAAGAATAATTGTTTCTTCCCTTGTAGCTTTCCTAACGACACAGATGCTGAGATACAATGAAGACTTTTGGATCGGCATGAATGATGTGAACTGGGAGATGCACTTTGTGTGGACAGACGGTAAAGGCATTTCTTACACCAACTGGGCCAAAGGACACCCGACCTCTGCGCCGGACGGACGATTCTCATTTGAGGTTATTTCTGCTTCTAACACCAAACTCTCTCTTACACAATCAATAATCTCACGGCCATTGGTTTGTAGACTAGTTGCAAAGAAAATCAAAATAATAATAATAACAATAAAACTTGCCAGCCGTTATTTGGGACGTACTAGCGAGCATTAGTTGAAAGATCTTAGAGCACAGGGAGTTAGTATTATAATATCTATAATCATTTGTTAAATGAGTGGGGGCCAGACCAGGCTCGGCTTTAAAATGTATTAAAAAAGAATCTTTAAAAATCTTTAAAACAAACATTCTCATGACACTGCTGCTGCTGCTGTCACTAGATTCCATCAACTCCACCAAAGACCCTTCCTTATCCTAAACGAATATAGAAGTACTGAGCCAAATAAATCAATTATGTTACAAAATATATTGTACAATAATTGATTTAATTTGATGCTTAAACCCATAAAATATGTGTGTGTGAACATTTTCCATACTTCCATGCTTTGATTAGTTACATCAGTCATCTAAACGTTTCATTTTTATAGAAATGCACTTATCTTTTTTGAAAAATAAAGCAGATGTGAGGAAAAATGGAACAACCAAGCTGTACTGATGTGTCATTTTCAGAAGTATGACTGTGTGATCATGGTGCGCAGCGTCTCGAAACTCACAGGAAAGTGGAAAGTGGAAGACTGTGAGGCAAAAAAAGGCTTCATCTGCAAAAGAAACATCGGTGAGTGAAACACAAGCACGCTTAATTTTCAGTTTGTTTTGTATATGATCGCGACTCACGACTGATGTGTGCTGTTCACAAAGATTCTCAGATCGTCGTTCCACCCACCACTGTGTCACCGAAGGTGTTCTACAAGCTCGGCAATGATTCTTACAAACTGGTGATGCAGAAGATGAGATGGGACGAGGCGAGGAGGCAGTGCCAAGCAGACGATGCAGATCTGGCCAGTATCCTGGATCCTGTAACTGAGGCTTACATCACATTGCAGATTTCCAAGCACAATGAACCCGTGTGGATTGGCCTCAACAACAATGTGGTAAAGAACCTATAGCAGTTATTCTTCAGCACTAGTTCAAACTGAGACAAGGAGTGTCTTTCTTTCTTTTCATTAATGCAAGTGATGATTTCTTTTTCACAGACTGGTGGTCGGTTCAAGTGGGTCGATAACTGGTTACTGTCTTACACCAAATGGGGAAGTGATGAGCCTAAAAACAATTACGGCTGTGTGTATATGGATGTGGACAGAACGTGGAAGACTGCATCCTGCACTAACACATACTACTCCATCTGCAAGAGGTCACCAGGTCAGACAGTGCCTCCGGCGGTTTTCATGCACTTTATTCTGCACATAATCAAACCACAAGACGTGTGCTCCTGAGACCAAGATGCCGTCTCCTGTCTCTTTTCAGACATCGCTCCCACTGAGCCGCCGCAGCTTCCTGGCAGCTGTCCGGAATCGAAGAACCAGATATCCTGGATTCCTTTCAGAGGCCACTGTTACTCCTTCCGCAGCGCATTGGTGGCCAACTGGGCCCATGCCTCCGTCGAATGCCTGAAAATGGGTATGTTATTAAAAGAAATGTCCACTGATAAATGATAAATGCATATTTAACAGAATTCAACTGTGTCTGTGGTCCTCAGGTGCATCTCTGGCGAGTATTCAGGACCCTCAGGAGGGTCGGTTCATACAACAGAACCTGGAACTCCTGCAGGACGGTGCCAAAACCTTCTGGATCGGCCTCTTCAAGACCCATGAAGGTGAGCGTGGCTTATACTAAAGTTAATGTATGTCAGTGGTGGATCCAGGGGTGGGGCGGGGGGGGGGGGGCAACACTGGCTGTAATGTGATTGATTTTAAAATAAACTAGTCTCTTACTAACAACATTAAAGATGAATATAGCCATTTCTCGTAAAAAGCTGAATTTACTAAAACATCAGTGCATCGTGTGGGGGCTCTGTTGTTGGTGACACAAGTTTCTCTGTTTTAGGTGAGTGGATGTGGATTGATAACAGTGTTTTGGACTATACCAACTGGAATCCGGGGATGCCAAAGTCCGACTCGTGTGTGGACATCAATTCTGACACTGGACTGTGGAGTTCGAACAGCTGCAGCAGATATAGGTCTTACATTTGCAAAACAACAAAAAGTAAGTTCAATGAAGTGTAATTTTCACTTGTCCTATCAATAACTTTTAGTGAGCAATCGTTTTTGTTTGTTTCAGTTATTACACCAACAGAAAAGCCTCCATCCGTTGGTAAGTTATTTTATCTTCGGTATCTAGTGCAGATGATGATTCCGATTTCAAACTATAAATAAATCAATGTTAAAACTTTTGTATTTTGCCTCCTCAGCACACGTCATAAAAGAAAATTCTCATGGGTCGGCTGGCATCACTGTGGCCGTAGTGCTGGTTGTAATTGCTGGAATTGGACTTGGTGCATTCCTCCTCTTCCGTAAACAGATACCCACACCTGTATTTGGAGAAAACACCTTCGACAACAAGTTATATTTCAACAATCCGATCCGAGCCCTTGTCGACACCAAGGGTCTGGTGGCCAACATCGAGCAAAATGAACAAGCATAGAAAGACGTGGTGAGATCTTCCACCAAGATCTTTCAGATCACTTGGACTGGATCAGAAATAATGATTTTCAGGACCATTACACATTAACTCTTGCCAAAAATGGCACTGCACTAAGCCAATTACAGACAAGATAAAAATTAACATGATTATATGATTTGTCAAATGTGTACAGATTTTTTTTACGTTTACCAATCAACATAACAAAAAACATTTGTGGATTAAATAAGAAAGTAAGAATTTTAAGATGTGTTTTTATTTTTTACTTCAATCTTGCTTAACTGAGTTGCTTGATATCATTATGTGTTCATCAAACTATTTCTGGCTCTCAACAGTGTAAATAGATGTTCAATAAAAACAATTAAAAACACAAAACCCCTTTTTGCTCGTTTTGTCTTCTAAGAAACCAAAAACAGAGCAACAATGTTTCATCACTAATTGATGCAACTGTGACGAGATACATGAGACATCAATAGCAGACTAAAGCAATTTTCATTACAGAAACAAACAAGAAGATCGTGGAAATAAGTTCCTGATCAAATGTAATGGGCCTAACACCTGAAACATCGTTACAGTGAGACTTAAACCTTCTTGCTAAACGAACTCTGTTGCCAGGGCTGAACTGTCCCCTTAAGTTTAATTATCCTGCACCAATCTTCACACATTGAAATATATCAGTCCCTTAATTATGTCTGATTTGTCCTTTCAATAGAAGTAAAAAAAAACATCTCACAATGTTCAAGAAAGTGGAAAAAAAAGTACTGGATCCAAACTTTTTTATCGAATCTGCTTGAAAAGTGAATGGGTTCTTCCTTGGTCAATACCCCTACACTTCCATCGAGTTAAAGAAAATCTTTGTGTTTGTGTCATCGAATCAAAACATAACCTCCTTGGAGGAGGAAAAATACCTGAGCAAATTCCATCAGCCAGGATTTCCTTCATTTAGGTGATGAGATATTTTTTAAAGCTGTAATTGGTCCCTGTTTAACTCTAATCTTACAGGAGGATGTTGAATTTGGAGATTTCTAAATCTTGCTCTTTAATCACCGGCCGCCCCCCTCACCTCACCCTGAAAGTGAGGCAGTGCTCTCCATGGCAACCGCAGCGCTCGAAGGCTGTCGCAACTAATCCTCTGGGGCTTACTCAACTATTACTTCTCGAAAGAGGGTTTTACCAACAGAACCGATGCCAGAGAATCGACCGGATCCTGTGTTTACCCCGACCAGAGGAGGAGGAAAACAAACCTGCAGCCACATCAGCAGCTGAGAGGAGCACAGGGGATAATGGTAAGCCTGGTTCATCCTCTGTATCTCAGGTGTCACTGCAGCTTTTAGCAACAGTTCTGCCCTCGTGTGTTTTGCTGGGTTGAGTTGACTCGCCGGGTTGCCGATGCGTGGGAGGATGTTGGAAAGGGTTTGCGGGAAAGCTTGGCGTGTTTTGTTCTGCGTGTTTGATCTTTGATGACTCAGAGATCATAGAGAAGAAGAGGAACGATGGATTTGAAGGTCACCAGTGTTTTAAACATGTGGGCTTGTGTAGTCAACACACAACATGCACTCTCACACAGCAGCTCCTGATATTCACAAACAACAGATGCTGCTAAAATAATGAAACTGGTTTAATGCATAGAATAAAACTGGCAGTGTACATTAAAATAAAACTTGTGCAGATTGATCCTCACTTCTTTGTTTTCAATGTGGATCTTTGTCTGCCTCACTTTCTCCACAGTCTCCCCATTCATGCCCCTTCCCTCTGCCCCCATGTTCTCTCTCACTTGCCTGCACTAATCTTTTTGTTGTGGTCCGAGGGGCCCGGGCTTTGGCTGACCATTCGGCACAGTGAGGGTCCACGCAGCTGAAGGGTGCCGAGCCTTCCTGTCCCCCATGCACCAGATCTGGCGGGCCTATTATTAATGCCTCCCTCAGCAAGAGCACATCCGCCGCTCTTCTTTTTTTAGAGGCTTTTGCTCCGTGATCTCCTCGTTCACCTTGATTAAAAAATTCTCTCTCTCTCTTTCTCTCTCTCGCAGTCTGTCTCACATTCTCATTTGTTATCTCATAGCCCTCAGCCCGCCCTAGGAGCTCGAGGGACTCGGACGTCCCCCGCAGGAACATGCACTTCAGGAGCGGTCCACCTCTTCTGCTGCTTCTGCTACCTCTTTGTCTGCTGGGGAGCGTGGTGGAGGTGAAAGCGCAGGACTGGGGGTACCTGCAGGAGGCCCTCAAGGCCTTGGATCTTCCCCCGGGGACGGACGACGGACCTCAGCTCCAGAGGAACAAAACCGGGGTCCTGATCTCCACGCTTCTTCAGGCGGTGCACTGTGCAGAGCAAACAGGGACCTCTCAAGACAATTGCGACGAGGTACGCCTTTCTTTACACCCAGTAGGCTGAATGCTTATCATGCATTCAACTCCATTCCTGTCTGCTTATTCCATGAAATGTGCTTGTTATGGGTGGAATGCGAAGTGAATGTGGAGGCTTAAGTCCTTGACCTCTATGGGGCATTCATGCTGAGTGGCTTTATCCATCACATTTGACATAATAAACTCCAGAGAATGAGTTCGAGGTACTTCACATGTTTATGCAGGTGGAGCTGTCAGTGGGATTATTGAGCCTTGACATGAGGTTTAGAAATTAACAGAGCAACTTTCTACTTTCCAGCATTGTTTGCTGAATAATCTTCTCCGTCTAACAAAGACCGGTGCTTCACCCACTCAACAAACTTTCTATATTTTCTGTGTGGGTCCAGTTGGGCTCGTATCCAAGTTCAACAGCACAATGCTGGACATTTTCTAAGCAGTGTCTCGTGTGTGCAAGGAGAAAATGGGCCTTTTATCAAGCTGGCCTCTTTTCCACTTTTTCCCCCTCACATGTAAATATTTTATAAGCCTCACGTGACTTGATATTCTGCCACTTTATGCCCTTAAAATATCTCTGATGTTCCTACTATTCTTGTTCCAGTGCCTGACACCGGACACAGCCCTCTCTGTGCTAGAGGATGATGGGAAATCTTACCTCACTGAGGACGACTACCAGCGGATCTCAACTGTTCTGCTGTACTACATCATTAACTTGCGCGATCTGTGTGTGTCAGATGCTGCCTCCTCTTCCTCCTCTTCATCCCTTTCCTCCCTTTCCTCCCTTTCCTCTCTTTCCTCCTCCTCATCTGGGAACTATCAGTTCTACCTCCTGGCCCTCACCAATCTACATCCATCTGAGGATGACCAGTTCCTGTCACTCAGTGAAACCCAGAGTATTCTGCAGGTCATCACCCAGCACTACCACCCCTCCAACCTCCAAGAAACCTCCTGTAATGTGCAAGTAAGAGATTTGTTATCTAGGAAATCTATCTTGTATGCACTCACAGATACGATCATTTCACCTTTGACCCCACAGTGCATCGATGCCGCTCATCTACTCGAAGATGTTGACGTCAAAGAATATCCAGGTGCTGGCGAGTCCTCTGTGCCCAGAGTGGCTGCAGCCATTATCAGCCACATCCTGCAGGGCCACTGTTTCAGACGGACGAATCTACCGTCACCTGCCTTCTTCACCGACTACATCTTTCAATCCCTGAATTGCACAACTAACCTGCAGATCACAGGTCAGTTAGTAAATTGTTATATTATCAAATCCATGCAGAATAAAGCTGCATGTTCCCATAAGATCACAAATAAACAAACCTGGAACTCTGACTCATTTCGATAAATCTGACCTCAGTATTTAATCCAGCGATTCTTCTTCTTCTTCTTCTTCTCCTCCCAGGCTTGGAGGAGCTGCTTCATCAGCTGGGAGTAGGCCGGGAAGGAGCATCTCTCTCTCACGACAGGAAGAGGCGGAGCATCACAGGCTGTAACCATGAAACTGGAGCAAAAAACAGAGACTGGGCTGAGGTGAGGCTCATCAAATATCAAATGAGTCTAAAATATTGTTTATTTGAACCCAGACTCATCCCTGGTCTTGTCTTTTTTCTTTGAATCTGTACAGGTATGTTTTTCAACTAATCAGCTGGTGGATATTTTTGCCCTGGATCCTCATTCACCCATTTCCAAGGAGCACTTCAGACAGATTTGCCCGGCCATTATTCAGCAGTTGCTAAGCAACGCCTGCGAGTCTGCAGAGCCAAAAACAAGAGGATCACTGCCCACTGCTCTGGAGAGTAAGACACTGTACCTCATTGTTCCCCTATACAAACCACAGCATACAGTATAGAGCTACTGCAACAAAGTAAAGTATTTGCATTAAATATTTCACTTTAGGCCATCATTTGAAACACACAATATCATTTCATTGTATTTCCTGTGTTGTGTTTTTATGCTTTGGAAAATAAAGTATGCTGTTTATTATAATTATTATAAAGAAAAAGACAACATAAGAAATGTAAGCGTATAAAGTAATATTAAATCAAATAACTTGTGGTTATAGGTTTTGTTCAGTGAAAACAAATAAATAAAGGTTAAAAAAACTTGTAAAATTACCTTCTGACCTTCCCTCTCGGACCTGCAGAGTATGGCTACAGCACGGCTGCCGTCCTGCTGATCACTGTGGGCTCCATGTTCGGCATCTGCCTGATCTTCTTCAACTCTTGCCAGGAGACGTACACGCTCATCCTGCAGCTGTTTGTGGGCCTGGCGGTGGGAACCCTGTCAGGAGACGCTCTCCTGCACCTCATTCCACAGGTGCCATTAAACTCTCTATTATGAACAACCACATGCCCTCGGAGAAACTGTCTTATCCCTTCTTCTTTTTTTGTCTCCCTGGAGATTCTGGGCCTCCATGGCCACACTCATGTCAGTGATGACGAGCAACACACTGAAGGGAAGGAGTATCTGTGGAAGATTCTTGGCATGATCGCTGGGATTTATGGCTTTTTCCTTATTGAAAGAATGTTCTCCTTTATATTTCCTTCTCATGGCCACGTAAGATTTGTTTTTTAATAAACCATCATCAATTTGAATGACCCGAAAAGCCCTCCATAGTAAATCACGAGACAGGGGCTGAAGCTGTGGCTGATGTTCAGTCCCTGTAAGCAGATTGTGATACTTTGGAGGTGGTCGTGATTGTGCAGGTGAGCGACGGTGGTCTCATGACTTTCTTTTGTCTGCAGGGTCATTCCAGTGACATCCCCCTGGAGCTCAACTGTAATGGTCGGTCACAGAGAGGCAAGTCCATCTCCACCATACAGCTGGTGAGTGTCATCACTATCTGCTCTTAGAGGAAAGTCCTGATCCCTGTTATCAACACTATAATTTATGTAGTTATAGAGTAAAAAAGCGAGTGTAACAAAGCAGATCTTGGAGAGTTGTATTATATATGTCAAAGTAAAAGTACCACATACATTTTCGACATTATGACTGAGTCTCTGCGATGGCTTCTCCCTAATCCCTTTTAGATGTTCCTTCACTGGTGAGTGCTGCTGCTGCAGAAGAGATTGGCTTCACCAATAACGTAATGCATTGTAAAAATGAAGATATGAAAGAACAGTATTTTGTGGAGTAAAAGCGAAAGTACCCGAAAGTAAAGCCACTTAAGTTACCATGAAAAAAGGAACTCATCACATCATGTTTATTTTCCTCCCCGACACAATGTTGTGACTTTTTTAAGAGCAGAGCACATTTTATTTCTGTCAGAAACAAAAGTTAAATTCCTGCACAACAGAGCTTATTAAAATAAGATAAAAACGATTGAATGTTGTGTAACAGTTGTTGACTCTGCTGTATCACTCTGCAGTTATTAAACATAATATAATTCCAATCACCTCAGTGATGCCCCACTCCCACACTACTCCTCCACCAGTGTTGTTGTGCTGGAGGGCACCTCTCACAGTTAGAGTACATCCACACAGTTCAGCACACTGGACCAATTCTGATCCCAAACTCATCTTTAAAAGAATAAGTGAATCTACTGAATTTATGTTTACGGAGGGGGAAATAAAACAACTTCAATCTACACAAATGAGTTTTCCAGTACGGCTTTTATATAAGAGGAGATGAAGAGCGGCGTGGGAGGGAGTGAAGGAGCAGGGCATGTAGGATGTTGGAGAATGAGAAGCACTGAATCATTCAGAAAACACTTGAATCATGTAGCTGAACACATACTGGAACATTTCAGTCACTTACGAGGAAAACTTGCTTTTACAAACAAGGACCTAGATCCTCATCAGGTTCTGATGTCATTAGCATACAAGCTGTTAACTCTCAAAAACACAAACACAAAATGACTCTAGTATGTTGTAGGAAATTAAACTATATGTCAATGTCATCTGCACCAAAACTGAATGGGTTCTTCCTCGAGTCATGCCCCACTGCTCCACAAAATGTCACAGGAATCAGTGATGTATCTTTTGCGTAATCCTGCTTAATAAAATCAAACAAAACCCAGACAGAAACACAACTTCCTAAACTGAGAATAATAAATTGATTCTATTTCTGTTTTGCCTCATCCGAGCCTGTTCGTTTAACTCATTTCCTAAATTAGAATAAAAGGTCAAGGGGGTTCAAACTCTGTCTTGTAAATAATCATGTGTATCCTGCAGGGACCGGTGGATGACTTGGAGTGTACAGAAATATCTCCTGAACATGCAGACACGAGGAGGCCTTCACATCAGAGTAAGCTCCCGGAGTACGAGCTGCACGATTGCACCCGGATGAATATGTGATTCACTTTTGTAATGAGTCGCCCGGCATGACAGAGCGATTGTCCCGGTCTGAGGATGAGCTCTGATGACACAGCCTCGCTTTTGTTTTCCCAGGACAGGGGGTTCCCCTGCTGGCCGTGATGGTAATTGTGGGAGACAGCCTCCATAATTTTGCCGATGGCCTGGTCATCGGGGCGGCCTTCTCCTTTTCAGCAGAGACTGGAATGGCGACCACCGTGGCCATCCTGTGCCACGAGATCCCGCATGAGATGGGTGAGAGGTCACTGTTGCCTGTTGTTTGTGTTTTCAACTGGAAGCTGTTTGACTGAGCGACCTCTCTCGTCTGGTTTGTGTCTCACAGGGGATTTTGCGGTGTTGCTCAGCTCTGGACTCTCGGTGAAGAAGGCCATGCTGATGAACCTCCTCAGCGCTCTGACGGCCTTCATGGGCCTCTTCATTGGACTCTTTGTTTCTACAGAGGCAGACGTGCAGCAGTGGATCTTCGCCGTCACTGCAGGGATTTTCCTCTACTTGTCACTGGTAGAAATGGTAAGGCAGCTTTATTAATGGTTGCTTATGCTCTTTATTTTTCCTAATGTCAACAGATCCCAGAACCAATAAAAAATAGAAGGTGCATGAACCTCTGCCAAGGCTAACGCTCTAAACCTTCATGTTAAAGAGGAAAAAATCCTGGATCTGCTCCAAAATAAAATAGTTTCCTTTTAATGTCTCATCCCCACAACAACATTTCATGGAAATTGAGTCTGATAGCTTTCATCAGCAACTCCCATGATCCCACACTGCTTCACGATGTCAACAAACTAGGTCTTTAGTTATTGTTTTGATCGAGAGATCCCTAGATGCTACACATTGTCACACATTGTACGTTACACACATTAAAGTAAACACAAATACATACATCACGTTCTGCGTCCTGCATGCTCTTCCTGTTCCTGCTGCATTCTTCATACATTAAAAAATCAAAGTCTGGAACACATACGGACCCAATTTTCCAGACCTCATGTCTGAAAAGCACTTTGCTTAAGATTTACACGTAGAAGGAATGAATTGACTTTGTTCTCTGTCAGAGACATTTAGAAAGTAAAGCTTTGTTGTTTTTACCTTTTTATGGCGTTTCTCAACATTAAGAAAACTAATAACGAAAAGTGGATCCCTTCTTTCTGTCAAAATCTTGATGTTTCTTTTCTTTCGTTTATCAGCTTCCAGAGATGAGTCGGGTGAAGACCAACAAACCGTGTCTCCTGTTTTTCCTGCAGAACCTGGGTCTGTTGATGGGTTGGTCCTGTCTCCTGCTCCTTGCGCTCTTTGAACATGAACTCAAATTCTAAAGTGCACACCTGACCTACAGTGTCTCTTCATGCAGGGTCTGAACCGAAATAACTGCTGACCTGATTTCTAGTGTTTTTGAATTCTTTTTTTTTTTAAATAAGTTGATTATTATCTGTTGCTGTGCACAAACAACTGTCTGTGCAAGTGTTAGTTTGTGGTTATTATTGGTGAGTATTTCATGTCGTCATAATCTCAGCTGGAGGCTGCAGTAAACATTTCTTTTTATACATGATGATTTATTTTTGTTAAGTGTCATGGGGGCCTGTATCTGACTATAGCTCAAACACTTTATGTGGGAGCATCAAGCGCAATTGTGCGTATCTGTTACGGTCTTGTGGGGAATTTGTTGATTTTGTACGATGTTTTATTTTATATAGTGATTCATTAACACTTTATTCGTCATTTCTGCAACATTTCTGAATATTTTCCAGTGAAATCTTTTACAAATTCTAAGAAAATTCAAGGCAGTTTTCAGTCAGTACAGTTCCAATTAATTGATTTTACTTTAAGAGATAATCCAATTATTTAGATTTGTCCTTCAACACAATTGGACTACTCACAAAAGAAACAGTAGTGCTTTCCAGGAAACTTTATAAAGCATCAGAGGAATTCTTAGAAAGTTGCAGACCCATAATAAAGCATTATCTCACTTTAAACAACCTATAAATATACTTTGGCTTAATGAGAACGTTAGGTGCAGAAAAGGACTCGTTCCTCTTTGTAAGGCTTACGCTGCTTCAAAATACTTTGTTTCTCTGAAGAGCTGTTTTCAGAAGCATCGCTCCGGTTCAGCGTCTCATCTCGGAGGCATCGCTCTTTGTTTTTGAGGCCTCTCTGCTGCGATCCAGCATGAGGCCACTTCCACCCACCTGAGCCATTTGTTCTCTCCATCCACCAACCTGGATGACTAACGCTCGCTCCAGAAGACAGCAAAGCTCTGGAGCGATGCGGCCCACACAGCACACGCACGCACGCTCTTCACCGGCCAGAGTGGGCCTGCAGAAGGAGGTGGCTGAAGAAGAGAATGCGATGAATACATCACTGTAATGAAATAAATGAAACGCAGTAAATCAACTTATTTGTACATAAAATTGGATTTGTGATATCGAGCAAATGAGTGAGCTAAGCGGATTTTTACATCGGCTTGTTGTGACTAAATTCTGCTGCTCTCTTGAGTAAATAGCCTTATTTGTGCCGAGGATTAATTTCATTGCAGAATGTGCACAGTGATTATGTGAATTTTCCATCCTAAGCTTGCTAACAAAGTGCAAAGTCAGTTACATTGACGGAGTCGTGACACTATTCCACTGTCACATCAGAAAGAGCTGACGCCATTCGTTGCGACTTCCCGAGAAATGCTAAGACAATAGCAGGAAGTCCCGAGCATTTTCTCTTATTCTAGCAACTCTGCTGTTGTCCCCTGTGGCATATCCAGGAAAGCTTCAGACCTGATGGCTTGTTTTCTGTGTAAATCTGCTTGTTTGCGCTAAAGAGGCATTTTCTGGCATGTGTGCATCTTTTCGAGGCAGCTGCTGCCAGGATGGAGGAAGGAAGAGCTCGTTATCTGGGGCATGTTGGTGTGAACATGGAGTATCCTCACTTGCTCAGCAGAGACCTGTCGGGGGAGGGGGCTGCTGCAGGGTCATCAGGGCAGCAGAACACACAGAAAGACACAAAACAAGAAATATAAATGTCTCCCTTTGATTTGAGAAGGTTTTCACTGAATACGATCCACTGCACCTGTTATTGTCGTCACAATACCACACGGGATCTTAAGTTACTGGTTAGACATTTTTGTGCATGGTCACAGGACGTGTGACGTCAAAGACACAGAATTAAGTAAAAAATAAAGGATGAATACGGTGATTTTTAATTTCACAATAGTTTCTTAATTATTTGAAACCTGAACTCAGCCTGGATTTAGTCTCTACTTTAAAGTACTTCATTATTTAGCAGTGCACCAACTTTTTTTTAGCTAAAACAACACATACTGGGCTATTCTGACTTCTAGCTCTACAGTTTCCTTCATTTCCCACAATGCAACTCAATATTAGTAGTTGGTTAAACCATCTACAATCTCACATCTTTCAATCTCCACACAGTTTGTGTTTTAATGAAGTTTGTAGCAACCAGTCCTAAGTTGAATAAGTGTCATCAATCATCAGATTTGATTTTTCAGACTTTGGAGAGCTTCCTCCAGGACCAACAGTTCATCAGACAGATGTTTCCAGAGGCTGAAGAGAAGTAACCATGACTGATCAAGATGTGTTGAGGGAAAACAGTGGTTTCCCCTTTAAATGACCACAGCACATGAAACCACTAGAGGGTGATAGCAGACAACACAACTTCAGAGACACAGTGACTATGGTGTAAAACTTGTCTCAGCTCAGCTGCAGCTTGTCTGGTCTGTGCATCACAGCTGTAAAACTGACTGAATGACAGACAGACTCACTTTAATCAAGTTGCTAAGACAGAAAACTTTTAGCACACAGCTTTTAACACAGTTGCTGCTTAATGAAATGAACAAAAATAATTATTGTCTGGTTGTAACTTCTCAAATTTGAAGTTTTGCTGCTGTTTTATATCATTGTGAATGGACTTACTTTGGGTTTTTAACCAAATAAAACCAGATACTCCAGGATGTCACCTTGGGTTCAGCTTCTTTTAAATATAAAAGAGTGAGGATATTCAATCAGGAGCTAATAATGTGGACTTGTTTTAGTCAGTGCCTAAGTTCACAGTGTTGTTCCCCTTTAAACTAGTCTTTTCAGAGCCTGACATTCCTTTCTTGAGAATAACAAGTCGTCACTATACAGTTTTAATCCTCCTGCTCCCTGTCACCTTTAAAAAACAACTTTCAACACTGAGGGGCAGGGTTTTATGTGTTTCACTGCCCCCTGCTGGTCGAAATTTCCCTGACAGTGTGGTTGACCCGCCAAAAGCATCTTGATCACCCCCTGGTGGCTGGCTTCAGTATAGGTCATTTACCCTCCTCCATGTTTGCAGATGAGACATCGAACAAATTAATGGACGCAATAAAAACAAGGTGACATGTCCTGATGAGCTGAGGCTGACCTGCCATAGGCCGAGCTTCACTATCCCGGCTTGATCCCCTGATCGCTACTGCGCACACCCTGGTAGACAAGATGGCGACGCTCATACCCAGAATATTTTGGCTTCATTTCTGGATTGTGGAAGGACGTTTATATATATGGTCTATGGACACTGCTTATTGTCAGCTCTGCCATGTGTACAGGACCTAGACGGGATTCAAATGCTGTTTCTCTCTGATCCCCGGTGTAAACATACAAATAGACAGAACATATAGTACGCAACATTATAAGTACTCCGAACATAGTAGACAGTATGACACGGTAGCAGCAGTTGAAGTATGATATAGACTTTCAAGTATTAATATCAGTATCGTGCTCAAGACTGAGGAAAAACTTTTATCTCTTGATTTTTTATTACATATTAGGGCTAAATTCATTCTAGAGAATTCTTGAATCAATTGGATCACAGGATTTAATCAATTCTTTCTCATCATTCGCTGGTGAAAGTCTTTTACAGCTTTTGTTTTCCAACAGAGAAGCAGTTTGCTCCTCTCCATCCCTCTGCAGTGAGGAGGTGTAGCTGGATGGCTCTCAGTCAGTGTGGGTAGGAGGGCACTGATGATGCTGGAGGGTTTTAATATCCGAGAACTCAAACCCTCTTCTTCATCATCTTCATCATCTTCACCATGTGAACTGGAGGAGAACGGCTCCACCAGCTTCTTCCCGTCCAGGCTCCTCCTCACCTCCTCCGCTGCCGGGGGACCCGAACACATTGTCGGTGTCAGGTGAACCAGCGGCTCCTCGCTCACTCACCACCGGCGGTTTTACGCGTTAACGTGAAACCGGAGAAAACCGGAGAAACGAACTTAAAATGACTCTGAGCTGTGGTCCGTCTCTCAGCGTGTGTTCGAGTCCCGAGGTTTTATTTCCTCGGTGGGTTTAATGTTCGTCACTTTCTGCTGAACCGAGCCGACACATGGACCCGCAGGAGCAGCCCATGTTACACGTGAGTTCATTTAACCCGAGAAACATCCACGTTTTTATTCATTTCACAGTTTGTCAAAGTTCGTACGTTAAAGAAACAACTTCTCCTCACGTGCCCACTTGTCCTCTCCTCCCATTGGCTACAACAATCTTTAAATTGAGGACGCAGCGTCTTACGCAAGTTTTACCTTTAAAAAATGGCGTCGCGGTGGTGATCCTGAATGCTAACAGTCTGGAGTGAAGGTAATCGATAAGCTTATTGATAAATGTTACCGACAACCCGAAAACCTTCGTCACTCATTGTCATAAAGACTTATTCAAATGTTGGGCGTGCTTGATGTGTATAGAATTAAATGTGTTTATATATAAACTCATTTCGAATTAGTTTTTTAGTTTTTAATGTTGTTGGCATCAATTGTAAATGTTGTTTTTAAAAAGTTTTTTAATTCTGAACTCTACTTGGCGACTGCTACATTTGAACCCACAGTCTCTGTGCTGCTTTTTAAATTTCTTACGTTTTAACTGTGATTTAAATCTGCGATCGTTTCACTTTTAACACCAAACTGCACCTTTAACGCTGTCAACTGCTTTTTAACTGTAACTTAGTGACATGACTGTTGCACCTCAAACTACAGACACTGCTCATTTAATTGACACGTATTGTCCGTTCATCTGTTTGTCTGATGTTGTAATCATGAGCCGAAGGCAATTATCCAACTGTGGTGGACGATAAAGCTTTATTCATTCATCAGTGTTGTAAATGTGATGGACAATCTGATCCGAGCCTTTATCAGTCTTTGAGATATATATATATATATATATATATATATATGATCAGATGTCTTAAAGGAAAAATCACAATCTATAAATTAGCTGTCACAAACACAGTGTTGTGGAAGGATCAATATTGATGAAAACCCATATTGTGCTTGAGTTAAGTCTTTGAGTAAATGTACTCAGTTACTGTTCATTGTTGTTGTCTATGAAATAATCTGTTCTGTCCTTTGGTAAAATATGACACGATGGATCATGCCGTGTCTTTGTCGTGCAGAAAAACGCATTCGTTCAACTTGTATACTACAAGTTCTTAATTGTTCCTCCAGACCCTCAGAGCTCAAACTGTTCTACATGACCAGCTCATCTTTCGCTCTCTCTCTTTTCTCTTTGTACATGCATGATTAACGTGTCCCGGGGGAGCGAGACGGAATAAAGCTCACATTTGAAATGCATTTCTGTTTTTCCCGTTGCTACTAGCAACGCGCGCTGTATGAGCACTCGAGCTGAGTACATCACTTTTCCAGCCCCTCTTTGTATCAGCTTGCATATTGAAGACCACCCACATAATTACCAACATTTTATGACACCTGTCATAATATAGCACTTCAAATAAAACACTGAAAGCTATACTTGACTAACTGAAGTCACAGTGAGGCTCTAGTTCTATGTTGAAAGGACAACTTATTAAAGCAGTATTCCCACATGCCTTCATGTACTTTACAACATTTTTGGCGGCTGTAAAAATCTGCAGTCCTCTTTCCCAAAGTGCATTTAAAAGTTGAAAATGGTATTAGCTTTCAGCAGTCTTGAGTTAAACAAAACCACTGCTCATCTACCATAGTTTTTAGACTGAAATTCCCTGTTTATGTTACTGCGTCTTCACTGCTGCTCGAGAAAAGAGGCTGAAACAGTCAATTCGTAAAATAAACCAGGTCCAAAACCAATTATTATCTTGAATCTGCAGTTTAATTGTTTTGACCACACAATGTCATGAAATCTTAAAAAAAAACTGAAGACTGAAGAATATTCAATTTGCAGTTATATAAAACAGAGACAACTAGAATTGACTTAACTATTAATACAAAAAAAAGTCAAAAAGAAAATTCATGGTTGCCATTTACTTTTCTGTTGATAGACTGATCGATTAATTGAGCGATTGTTGCAGCTCTCAATGGGTACGGATAGTTTTCATGCAAACTCAGCGACTGCTCCATTTCTTACCCTTAAAATTTAATTATCTTTAGATTTTGGACTGTCGTTTGAAGACGTGACAGTATTATGACAGAATGATTAAATTGATAATGAAAGTAATCATTAATCCTTTTCCTCACTGGAAGATAAAATTATGACTTTGCCGTCTCATCCTGCTAAAGCTTAACATAGCATAATTTCTGCTGAGCTTCAATAGTTCAATACTTCAATACCAGTGTGAATCAATGCATATGAACATGGACATATTGTGTTTTAAGACATGCTTGTAAAGGCTTCTTTAACAGTCTCGCTATTTATCTCTTTATTTTGTTCTCTGAAGTCTCAAGGCAAAGGAGCTCGAAGGAAAGGTCGATTCAAAGGTTCGGATGGCAGCACCTCCTCTGACACCACCACCAACAGCCTTGTTCGCCAGGTAAGAACGACTCTTCACTTAAACTTAAGGGCTTAACTTAAGTGGCTTCGAGGTTAATTGCGATCTCTCCGGTTCAAATTCACTGAGGTTCTGTGAAACGTCCCTTCACATCTCTTAGTCATTCTCACTTTCATCTGTCTGGTAAATTATAGAATTCAGTATTTTGCAAAGATACATGGTGCCGTACACTAGGGTATGCACACTGCCTATAGGGACAGAGCTCTGTTTGTACAAGGAGGATGTATCTGATCAAAGTGGGAACTGTACAAGAATACCACAGGGGGTAATTCAATTGAATGGCTACAGTTCCGTCATGTAGGAATTTAATGTGTGTCCACTGACAGTGAATGCAAACTGGCAGAAAAGCCCACCGTCAGTAATCATCATCCATCAGGGATGAGATGTGCATTGCAGCGAAAACTCTGTGTAAACACGGCTGGGTACAGTATGTTAAGTGGAGGCCTGTCCCCTGAGCTGCACCCTGCGACACAGTGGTCTGTTATAAAGCAGACGCTGCGAGACACAAACACACACACTCAGCACGTCTGGTCTTTGTTGTTGAGCAGACCTGCGAGGGGACAGGATGGGCTTGGGTTAAGGATGCGAGCCTCTGCCTAAATGTTTCTCCCTTTTTTGGAGGAGACACGCATCTCCTCGTCTTTGGCACGGCGGCGGTCGGCAGAGAAATGTGAAGCTGGAGGAGATCGGAGCCTCCTGGCTGGCTGCCGGCTTCCTCTCCAGGTCACTGAGAACTTCTGAATGAGCTGCGATCGTCAGTGTTACAGCTCAGTGAGAAATTGCCTGATTCTTACCGCCACCCTTGAGAGTTCGTGCCCCTTCCCACAGCCCTCTTCCCAAATGAGGAGTTCCCCCTTCAAGTCTGAGTCATGGCAGATAAATTCAATTAGTCGCTGAGTGAGCGTCAATCTTCGACGTAATGCCACATCCTGACGAAAGGAGAGGTAGTTTAAGCAGGAGGCGGTGGCGGGATGTGGGGACGGTGGAGGAGTGATGTGTTTCAGGGTCAGCGAGACCCTCACATGCTGAGCAGGAGTATCTTCTTTTAGATATTTGCCACAAGAGGGCCCCAGAAATAGCCAACCTTCCAGTAAGCGCTCCTCTGTTTGCATGATAATGTAAATACTCTTTTTCAAGGGTGTTATCATAACAGCACTTTGAACGTGACCTTATTTTCTCCTTCCTTGTGCTCGATCATCGTGCCGGGGATTATTTGCAGTGTTCACAGAGGAATGAGAGTTCAGAATATAAACCGCTAAGCTAACACTGTGCCGGGAAACTATGCAGCCAACGTCTCTGCATGTGTGTGGTTATCTCACAGACAATTCATCAATCTGTCATTTGCTTTGCAGATTTAATCTTTGATTTATAATTTCTCTCATCGCCATCAACATTCATGGATTCTCCCAGAGAACGACTACACAGCTGGATTTAAGAGGTGGAATTTTTCTGTGGCTCTACCTCCTGTCTGACATGTTTTCACAGTTTTTCCTGTAGGCGTCTGAAACATGTCTCGGGCTGGGACGAGGGTCGCTGCGTGATCTATCCACGGCAGCTACAAGGGTCATAAACACGACTTTCCAGTAACTGCGTATAAACAGCTCCTGAAAAACAGAATTACTCATGTTCCAGCAGAAAGAGGGAGCAGAGGGCAGACAGTGAGTAGGTTGAGGGAGAAAGGATGAGAGACGTTCCCTGTGGCCGAGGCCTCATGCCCAGGGGGCCTGTGGAGGAGGCTGGGAAGGGTGGAGGTCCAGGCCAGACCGGACCACTCAGCCGTGGGAGTAGTGAGGTCAGTTTAGCTGGAACTGAGCTCTTCATTGAGAAGGAAGGAGGGCAGAACTGTCAGAGATTTGTTAGGAACATCAGGTGGATGGTTTATTTTTAGTCATCTGGAGGTGGTCTGGTTCTGTAGCGTTGGGGAAGATGGCAGCTCATTGTGCACTTTGTGTTTGTCTGTTAGTGAACATGTGGAGCGGTTACAAATACTAATGATTCGTGCAAACCGATAACGAGTAGGAATTGTTTGCTTGAACTTTCTCTTCCCATGAGCTAGAAAAACAGACGTTTAAGCATGAACATGATACGGTCAATATATGCGTTTGTTTGCCAAGTGGATAGTTTGGGAATATTTCAATATTAACAAGAAAAATCCCATATGACATTCAAGTAAGGATCGACACCACTCTTGTGTTTCTACTATAGACTGAATATAAAGATGGACGTCATGACATCCACAAAATTAAGCCTAAACACCTTGATTACCCTCTGGTGGTTGGCTGAATAGCTCATAAGCCCCCACTTCCTCCATGTTAGTGGATGGGACCCAAATAAAAAGTAATGTTATGAATATTATTTTTCTCAAAGATGGTCATGGTATTTTAGGTAGTTCTTATCACAAGACTAGAAGCCATTTCCCTTTTCTCCTTTTTTTCTGCACAGCAAATTAGCTGCTCGATGTAGCTTCATATTAAGTATGTGGATATTAGACTTATATCAATCTTCTCATCTGACTTAAACGAAAGCAAAAGAATCTGCAGCCATCTGTGTTTTTCGGTGGGACCCCACATAGAGCCTGGCGTGCTTTTATTTTCTGCTCACATTGTAAACTCAGAACTGCCCATAGGTGTAAATGTCACTATGCAGACTGGCACTGTGTTTAGAGAGTCTGCTTCTGCCTCTAATGCATCCTGGGAAACAATCCAGTCCCCAATGACCCTGAATAATAACAAACTTTCTTTATATAGCGCTTCTATAAAAACAGGGTTAACAAAGTGGTTTATAGAGAGTGAGAAACAAAGCTCAGAAAAAAAAAGAGTGGAGGGATTGTTTAAAAGAGAGTAAACGTTTGATCAAAATAGTGAATAAGAAATTAAAAAAAGATTCCAAAATGTGGGATCTGAAGACGAACGTCAGATCACCTCATTTTTTGACAGTGAGGCTTGAATACAGATGGTGTCAGTTTTCCCTCTGGCTGAAAAATGTAGTTAGACACCAGGCGTGGATGATCACATGTGAAGAGAACTCAAAGGATATATAGTGAGCAATATTGTATAGTTCAATTATTGTTAAGAAATCACATGACATCAAACAAAGTGTTTGAATTCTTGCGTGACACACTCCTGTACACGTAGACCTAATAATAGTACTTTTTTGAAGATGTCCAGAGATGCAGCATGGACCAGTTTTTGAAGGGCTGTTGAGAATTCTTTTCATCAGTGATTGTGTGTATTTCGCAGCAGCAGGACAGTGTATATTTTATTTGTGTAGCGCTTCATTAACAATGCTCCAAGAAACTTTAAGGTTTAAAAAAAAACAAAAGAAAGCAGATAAAAGCATGTAACTATGAATTTAAAATAGGCATCATAGTCACACATCGACATATATGTGCAACATAGTGGCTCACTGATGTGTTTTTCATAGTTTTCAGAAGATGGTGGAGCTAGAAAGATAAGATACATCAGGTTTATTTGCAGATATCAATTTCAGCATCTATGTTTGCTGATATGTGATGATAAGGAAACTTTTACAGAATAAACAAAGTCAAAAAGATCTGCATTTATGTTTACATTTCACTGAAAACAATTAGTTATCATTTTCTTAATCAGGTTCTACATATGTGGTTGTATTTGTTTTCTTTTTATTTATAGTTATTTATAGTTTATGGTAAATATGTAAAATATCAAGCCTCAGTTACATTTCTCGGTCTATGTATCCGTATCAGAAATGAATTTGACTCCCTAATAAAAATAAATATCCATATTTCGGCTCTAGAACCAATACAATTTTGATTTTGGCCTTTTCATTGAAAACATTGACATTAGTAAAGTAAAAACAGAAGTAATCACAGGCCTCAGTCTTTAAAACCATGGCAGCTGCATGTTCCCTGACATTACATTTGTATGTCTCTTTTATTTTGAAGTAACTCAATAGATTCAGTGAGAAAGCAGCTGCAAAAATATCTGAGGGGCACAGGGGAGAATAACCTGAGCTGACTTGTGCTCTACTGTAACAATAAAGACCTGAACTACACTAAATCGAACTGAGCTTTGTGTAACTGGGAGCATTATGTCATAATTAACCTCCTGCTGCTCACCACGCTTATGTAAATGGATGTACCAGGCTTCCCACTTCAGCCGCCTCCTCCTGCTTCTTTCACCTCAGTCTATAGAACCGTGTCTGTTGACGTCTCCTGCTGCAGAATAACTGCAGCCAGAGCCTCGGTGTCTGCTCTGTCTGTACATTCAGTCCGGAGCAAAGGGATTTGGTGATGAAAGGCCGTCTGACAGGGTGCGGTGGGGCCAGGAAACCCCTTCACTGCCTCCCAGAGTACTTTTTCTCAACTAAATGTAGAGAAGACGGAGGTTAAGACTTCATAACTGACTCTGGTAACTATCAGATCTGGCAGAATTATGATGCAGCATTTACCAGTCACATACAGGACTATACTGTCGCTGGTACGTTTGCCAGTGGAGACCTTGGAGAGGTGGAGTGTAACGTTAACCCTGCGGACCTTTGTCTGAACTTTGAGCAACATGTGTCACAGTTTTCCAACAGTGCATATTTCCACAGAACCATATGTAGTTTCTGGCAGAAAACCACAGTAATGATTGCTGCGGTTAAATACTGTACTTATATAAAAATATGGACTCAAGCAGCAGCAGATGTAAAACTCTGCTGCTTCTTGGTCAGCCTTCTCAATGGCAAAGGACTGCCACCTAGTGGCAAAATGCATGATGTTTATTTGTCACAGCGTTTATACAAAACAGACGACCAAACCAGAACTTTTGCAGGGGAGCTCCAGAATAACAAGAGTTTTGAAATAAGTGATAATCAAAGAAGAAGCAATAAAGACAGACATTTCAAGTTAGCACATTTAAAAACAACTGTCGATGACCAGTGTTCTCTCAGGATCAAAAATCAGTCTTTAAACTTAAAAGAAATAATACTGTGACATTTATTTTGATAATTGCTGATGTTAA